AAATAGTTTTTTCTTGTGTTTTATATCCTACAGATTATAAACCAATTGGTTTTGAGGGTTAAAAATGTAAAATTGCAATATACATCTCATTAGGTATTTGTATAAATGTATAAATGTATACTACAACGTTTCTGCAATCGAGTGTATATATATGCATATATATATAGTTTTTCATTTTAGATACTCTGATTGTACTCGTTTAGAGCCTTTCTGACGCCAGTCTTCCAACGCACAAATCTTTATTAAAATAATCTTACAATGTGTGGTAAAACCTAGGAAAAATTACTTCAAATCATGATCGAGAAAAGTTTCTTGAAATTACAACATAAATTTACTTACATCCGGGCGTCTTCTGACGAAAAAAACGATGAAAATTAATACGAACAAATTTTGTGGCGGCCATGAGGTCTTCTTCTACGCGCAAAGACTCATGGGATCAATTGCCACAGGAAACCCAAACTATGCTGATCGCACGACTTTCTAGTTTAAATTTATTCCAATACACTGATCTAAACACGAATGATGGTGATAGAACCAGAGAGAAGCGTAGGAAGCCATGACGGTTCGCGTCGAAAGAAAAGAACGATTAATAAAGAATCAAGCAATGAACGGAGAAAAAAATGATTGAATATCGGAATGGATGGGTGAATTGACGGATCGACGACTTGACGGGCGATTGGCGGAAATAATTAATGGATATCGGATATTGACGGAATTAATTAATAAAGGATGTCTGGCTGGCTGCCTGGCTGCCTGGCTGGAGGGATGAATGGATGGATGGATGGATGGATGGATGGATGGATGGATGGATGGATGGATGGATGGATGGATGGATGGATGGATGGATGGACATGGATGAGCATCGAAAAACACATTAATATCGTCATCTAAAAATAGAAAACAATTGAAAATTGAAATTGTATCATCTAGTTTACTTTGAACACGCCTTTGGAAAATGCATTCATCTTAGAAGTATAACACTTATAAAAAAATGATACTTAGACACATTAAAGCTATAAATTAAAAGACAATGCTATAGCTCACCAATGTTTCCATTTTTCTTTTCTTTTTCTTTAACAGTTAGTGCAACTGTGTAAGGCAGGACTCTGGTTACATCGTCACTGATACTTGCGATGTACACGTTTGTATCGTTGACAGTGACGTTCTTTAGAGTAAACCATGCACGACCTCTCTGTAGATCACCTTCAAATGACAGCCGCATCATGAGATTTGGTTCCAGAAATGAATTGAGGTTGCCTTTGTTTCTCAGTATATCCACATTGATAAATTGAGGGTCAGGTATGTTCCCTTTTTTTATGCCCCATGTTGCAGATAGAATAGCCGAACTGTCGGAAGTACTCCACTTGAATTGTGCAGTTTCACCAATTTTGTAAGTAAGCTCGGCAGGTCCAGTAATTCGACACATTGCTACAAGCAAGCAACGAAAAAATACTGAGTCATTTTTTTGATTGGTAGTGGCTTACCATGTTTAATTTATTTCGATCTTGTTTACTGTTTTCTTATCTTCTTTATCAATCATAAATCACTGGCACTGACACTGACACTGACACTGACACTGGCACTGGCACTGGAATCATATTTATCTATAAAGAGAGAATTATTTTCGCATTCAAGCGGTGAGAGCCAAAAACTATTTTCTTGAAGAAAGGCTGTTGTACAAGGCTAAAATCTTGTTATTCAGAAAGTTTAACTTATTTGGAAGGGGAGAATGAAAGGGGAATCAAAGTGTTAAAGCTGGAAGCGAAAGAGCTCCGTTTGAGCTCCGTTTACTTATTTACTTATTTATTTACTTACTTACTTACTTACTTACTTACTTACTTACTTACTTACTTANTTCAGACAGCAAGTGTGCATCGTTTTAGCATTACATGTTCTGAAAAAAAGTGGCAAGAGAAAGTGAAAGCGTGCACAAGAGAAATGGTGCTTACTTATTGAGAGCAAGTGTTTTGGTTAATAAATTTTTCTGTGACATTACGTAGTCATGTGCCTATTAAGAATATGTTGTTYCACGTTATGGCAACACTTTTTTGACGTCAACAACAGCAATTTTTTTTTTTCAAATCGTGCGCCGGATTCCGTGCGTGCTATTGAGAAGCCATGTGACTAATAAAAATGAAGTAGTTAAGGGATTCTGGTAGTAACCCATGCATAACGCAAATCGCGTAAATAAATAATATAAATAAATAAATAATGGTTAATTWAATAGTGGCATTTCAACAGATTGGCTCTACATCAAAGTAAACCGGTAAACCCTGAATCTTACGACAGACAGCCTGGSGGGACTCGAATCAGGGTCACATTGGTGGAAAGGGAGCGCAATTAAATAGAAGAAGGCAGTTTTGATCATGATTAAAAAAACAACATGACCACATAGCGACGAAAAGCACTCCATTAACACATGAATCATATCGTTCTATAATTAAGATGATAGTTTATTAATTACCTTTCGTGGACGTTTTTCTAGCAGTTTCCGGAAAACGTGAAGGGCCAGTTCCTTTCGTCGGTTCTTTAGAAGTAGRATATAAAATGATAAATGAAAATRTAAATGAAAATATTTTGATATTTATTGTTAAATAGACAACAAAAAAGTTTTCCGTTTTGGATACTCTGATCTAAACACACAAGATGCTCATAGAGCCAGAGAGAAGCGTAGGAAGCCATGATGGTCACCAGCGTCGAAAGAAAATAACGATTAATAAAGAATCAAGTAACGAACAGAGAAGAAAATAGCAGAATATCGGAATTTATGAGTGGATTGACGGATTGACAACTTGATTGACGGAATTAATGAATAGATATCTGATAATGACGGAATTATTTAATAAAGGATGTGTCTGGCTGGCTGGCGAGAAGGAGGGAGGGAGGGAAGGAGGGAGGTAGGGAGGGAGGGAGGAAGGGAGTGAGAGATATGGATGGATGGAATGACTGAGTTCGCGGAACATCGAAAAACACAGTAATATTATCTAAAAATATATAACAATTTAAAATTAAAATTGCAATATCAAATTTTTTTAAATTAATTGATTTTTTGAACACGCCTTTGGAAAAATGCATTCAGCTTAGAAGTATAATACTTAGAAAAAAATGATACTTAGAAACATTAAAGCTATAAATTAAAAGACAATGCTATAGCTCACCAATGTTTCCATTTTTCTTTTCTTTTTCTTTAACAGTTAGTGCAACTGTGTAAGGCAGGACTCTGGTTACATCGTCACTGATAC